TTCCCACCACGTCCTGAGACAAACACCCCACTCGACCTCAATTCTTGGGACCCCCCACGTGACAATTTCAGGCCCGAAACTTACCGATACCCCCCACCGCGCCCCCACCACGTCGTAACACCCGCATCCCACGCGACCTCACTTCTTGGGACCACCCACGCGACAATTTCTGGTCCGAATATTACCGACACCCCCCATCGCGCCCCCGCCACGTCCGTTTCCCCCAACCCACGCGAGCTCACTTCTCGGGACCCCCCACATGATAATTTCAGGCCCGAAACTTACTGGCACCCCCCACCCCCACCAACTCCCGGGACCCCCACCCCACGCGACCTCAATTTCTGGGACCCCCCACGCGTCAATTTCCGGCTCCAAACTTACCGAAACCTCCTATCGCGCTCCACTTACGTCCCGGCATCGCCACCCCAAGCGAGCTCAGTTCTTGGGACCCCCCACGCGACAATTTCTAGTCTGGAGCTTGCCGACCCCCCCAACCGCGCGCCCCCACCACGTCCCGGCACCCCCACCACTCGCGAGCTCATTTCTTGGGGCCTTTCACACGACAATTTCGACCCGAAACTTACTGACATCTCCCACCGCGCCCCCACCACGTCCCGGCACCCCCACCCCACGCGAGCTCAATTCTTGGACCACCCCCCTCACGACAATTTCTGGCCCCAAACTTACCGACATTCCCCACCGCGCCCCGCCACGCCCCGGCACCCCCACCCCACGACATCTCAGTTCTTGGGACCCCCCATACGACCGTTTCTGGCCCGAAACTTCCCGACACCCCCCACCGCGCCTCCACCACGTTCTGGCACCCCCAACACACGCGAGCTCACATCTCGGCGGTGGACAAACCTCCCTTTAGTAAACTACCTTCAATGAAAACGGCCCAAGACCGAAACCGATGGACCTGGACCCGCGAAACTAACAGCCGTGACGCCCTTTCGCGCACCGAAAACGGCCAATTCACAAATCGATGCGTCTGGGTAGGAGTTCCATCGACCTCCGCACTTCTTGGGACCCCCCACATGACAATTTCTCGCCCGAAATTTACCGACACCCCCCACGGCGACCCCACCACGTCCCCGCACCCCCCACCACACGCGACCTCAATTTTCTTGGGATCCCCCACACGACAAAGTCCGGCTCCCAACTGACCGACACGCCCCACCGCGCCCCCACCACGTCCCGGCACCCCCACCCCACGCGAGCCACGTGGACGTCGGGCCCCAAGGCCATCACGCATCGAAGCGGCTCAGAACATGCTTCAAACAGATGGGGTCGATTACTCCAGGGGAGGGACAAATAATTACCGATGCCGCTACCCTCTCCTCGCTTTCGCCTCTTGGATGCGACACAATGATCCGCAACGTTGTCCCCAACCAGGCAGAAGCGAGTCGAAGCCACCTCCTTAATGTCACAAATATTCATCCAAAAAAAAAGAACGAGGGCGCGCCGCTGGATGACCCCAAGGGGAGGGGGGGTTGGGACCCCCCCCCCCTTTCCCCGATCCGTCGTCGGGGACCCCCCCCCCCCTTCCCGATCCCTCGTCGGGGACCCCCCCCCTCCTCCCTTTCCCGGTCCGTCGTCGGGGAACCCCCCCCCTTCCCCCGTTCAAAAGGGGTGGGAGGGGGTTCCGAACCCGCCCCCCCCTCCCGCCCCCCCTTTGGCCGCCAAATTCGACCCCCCCCCTTCGCCACGGCGACCCCGGTTTCCGGAACCCGACCCCAACCACCCCTAACACTAATCCTCACCCTTACCCTAACCCCCAACCCTAACCCCAAACCCAAGCCCTAGCCACAAACAGCACTCACTACTCATTACGCACTAATCACTACCCACAATTCACGACTGGCTATTCACTACTCACTTCTCACTTCTCACTACTCACTCCTCACGACTCAGTACTCACTACACACGCCTCACTACCCACGACCCACTACTCACTACTCCCTACTCCCTACTCACTACTCACTACAAACTACTCACTACTTACTATCCAGTACTCAGAACTCACTACTGACTAAACACAACTCACAAACCACTACTCAAGAATCACAAATCAGTATTCACTACCCACTACTCACACTTCACTGCTCAGTACACAATGCCCAGAACCCACTACTCACGATCCTCTACTCGCTACTCGCTACTCGCTACACTTCACTACTCACTACTCGCTAATCCCAACGCCCTACTCGCTACCCGATACGCACTATTCACTACCCACTACTCACTACTCACTACGCCCCCACTACTCACTACTCACAACTTCCTACTCCCTACTCACGACTCCCGACGCACTACTCACTACCCAATACTCAATACTCACTACTGACTAAACACTGCTTACTGCCCGCTACCCACTACTCACTAAGCACTACTCACTACCCACTAACTACTATACTACTGAATACTCAAAATTCACTACTCACTACGCACCGCCCACACTTCATTACTCACTATCCGCTACTCGCTACCCAAGTGGAAATATTCACTAACAACTACGCACTACTCGCTACTCACTACTCCCTACCCCATTATTAACTAGTCACTAGTCGCCAGTCGCTACTCACTACTCTCTACTCAATACCCACGACTCAATACTCACTAATTTATACCCGCAGCTCCCTACTCACTACCAACTACTCTATACCCACGTCTCGCTTCTCACTACTCACTAATCACTACTCACGGCTCCCTACTCCCTACTCACTACTCGCTACTCGCTACTCCCTACTCGCCACGCGCTGCTCCCTACTCAATACTCACTACTGACTCCTGACTACTCCCTCCTCACGACTCACTACTCACACGGCCCTACTCGCTACTCACTACCCGCTACTCGCTACTCTCTACTCGCTACCCCCTACTCGCGACTCGCTACTCGCTACTCATCACTCACTACTCACTACTCTCTACTCACTGCGCACGACTCACTACTCACTACTCACTCCTCGCTAATCGCTACTGTCGACTCCCTCATCCCCACTCCTTGCTTAGTACCCACTATGCACTACACACTACCCACTACTCACTCCTCAATACTCATAATTCCTTACTCCCTACTTCCTTCCCACTACTCACTACCCACTACCCACTACTCACTACTCACTAATCCTTACGTGATACTCACTACTACCACCTACCCATTACCCACTACTAACTACTCACTACTCACGACTCACTGCTCACTGCTCACTATCAAGTACCCACTACTCACCAATCTCTACTCAAAACACTCTACTCTCTACTCACTACCCGATAGGCCCCCTCCCCAGCCACCTGTTCGGCGCAAAAGGGGGGAGGGGGGGGGTGTTCGACCCCCCCCCCTTCCAGCGCCTAAGGGGGGAGGGGGGGGGAGGGGGGGAAAATCTCACCCCCCTTTGAAGGGGGGAAGGGGGGGGGGGTTCTGCGAGCACACCCCCTTTTGTGGATTCAGGGCCATCCACTGGCGCGCTTTCAAAAACAACCCTTTCTCCCCTTTCTTACACAGATCATTTTTCGTTTGGAACAACTTCCTCCCCTCTCTTACACAGATCATGTTTCGTTGACTGCGGATCTGCGAGCTCGTGTGGGGTCGGCGGCAGAGGCGGCAGCCTTTAGATAGCGTCGGATTCATTAGGGACTCCTCGGATCCCTCAAAGACCCTGCGGAATTCCTCGAAACTTCTTGAGTCGGAAACCTTCGGAAGCCTAGTGGGTCTTGCGAACATGATCCAGAAGTTCTCTGAGCCCTTGCGGATCCTGAGGGATCTACAGGCATTGAAAATCATTCGGGATCCTTAGGAATCTTCTCAGAGATCTGTCTAGAGAGTCCTGGAATTTGATATTCAGGACCCTCAGGAGCACAGTGGACTCCCGAGGAATCCTGAGGGAATCCTTCGGGATCCTTAGGAATTCTTTGTAGGGGCCCTCAAGAATTCCCAGGCACTCTTTTGAATCCTCCGGGATCCTGAGGAATTCTGAATCCTTGGAAAGTCCTTAGGGGATCCACAGGGATCCCTAGGGATTCATCGGACTTCTCCGGACTGAATAAGGATCAAATTGGGATTATTAGAAATCCCGATAGAGTCCCAAGGAAAATGTGGGATTGCCCCTCGGAATCCGAGAAGACAGACCACGCATTGCCTTAGAACTACTGATGCTAATGATAGTATGGGCCAGTGGCTGGACTGTCTGGCCCCTGAAGAGGGGCTGTTTAGGGTCTCTTGCTGCAAGGTGTCATGCCGCTCGAGGAGGGCGCGCCAGGCCAGGTGCCCAGGACTTTCTTAACCCGACCTGGCACCGAAAACTCATCAAGTCAAGGCTCCGAAGAGGCTGGCAAAAGGCTGCAAGATGTGCTCAGGAGGCGCCCAAGCCAAAGAGGACCGCAAGACATCGCAAGAGGCCCACAGCAAACAGGTATAGCACCTAGCACCTGCGATATGCCTGCGACATCCACGCCGCGACCAAACATCGCAACGCAGTGCGAAGGCCTTGGTGCATCTATGCGCTGTCCAGAACTGGTAATGGCATGCAGATCCGATCCGCGGACTGTGGCTTCTTGGCGTCAGGTTGCCAGCTCTGGACAGCTGGATTCCAACGCCATGCCCTTTGGAAGCGCAAGTAGCAAAACGCCTGGCTGTAGCCCGTGACGATTTGCCACTATCTGATCCAACGAGTCCAATCAAGCAAACCACGGTTCGCTTTCATAACAAAAAAACGGAAAACAAAAACTCGGTCGAGGTCAACTCATCACTGCAACTACCTGTTGTCGAATCAAATCGCGATGGCTACATTGAGAAGCCGTTGTGGTGATGCTGTCGTGGCCGAGGGGAGCGCGGCGCCGTCCAAGCCGAATGAGTGGCTTGCTCCCGCAGCGCCGGCTGATCCAAATTTCGAGGACGTGCAGCAATCGGAAAATGAGGACAAGGAAAAAACCTGACGCCGATGAGAGGGCGAGTGAAGCAGAATGGGACGGGAAGTTTGGGATGGAGATGGCGACTGCGC